GACAAACCGAAGCGTCAACCAAGAAGTGGAGGTGATGCTATCGAACAAAGCACAAACAAAGCATTTCTTGGACTTTCTTAAATGATGCCATGGCTATTTCTGCGAAAGAATCGCCGAAGAATCAGACTGATAAAGAGCGGTTTGCAGCCGCGTCGTCTTGCATCGCGACAGAGATCTTAACTTTACTTTTCGCGCGCAAACGACGGCGTTCTACAGGTCCAGTCCTTTATCAGCCACCGCGTTCTAGAGGTCGTCGCGTCCCAGATCTTAAAGTCCCTAATTTCCCCCTAACCCGGTGATTTCCTCAACGTCATTCTTGCCTTTTCGTTTACGGTCTTGTGGATTTTCTTTAAAGTCAGTTTCTCCAAAGGGATCTTTGACGAACTGCCTGAGTGAGGAACGAAATCGGCTGGATCGATAATAGTAGATAAAGGGATTTGCTGCACTGGAAAAGTATGTAGCGTACCATGCGATGAACCCAAACCACGAGTTGGTCGGGCTTGCTTCCTGTTGGCTCAGTATCGCGTAGGCAACTGCTGGAAGATAGGAGAGGAAATACGCAGCTATAGTTATAGCAATTGTCTTGGAGGCCTTGATAGTGTTCTGTACTCGAGCTTGGTCTTCAAGAGCAGGTAGGTTCATCTCTACTTTCTGTGAAATGAAAGACAAACTGCTAAGATAATGGTCAAGGATGTTCGTAAAGCTGTTACCTTAGGGCATCGGGTGCTTTTGTTTATTTCATGCCAGGGGGAGGACGTATTGGATGAGGAACCGATTTAAAACTGAAGAAGAAACCCTGCGGAGCACAAAGTAATGTAGGGCACGCAATAATCCATGGTCCCCTACAAACTCTTAGGTAGTCCGGCATACAGTGTCCATACCGAAGTAAGAGAATCTGAAAATAATTGTTAAATACATTTTTTCTTTCAAAGAGTTTTGTTCACATTTAGTGATTACTTATCGGAACCAGTCAGATCGTCGCAAGTGGGCCAAGGGGAAGGGGTGGGGGGAAGAAGAGTTTTGTTGGTAAGGATAATTATTAGCATTAATATGGATATGTTTCATCGCGGATATCCGTACTTATTGCCCCCGCAGGGATTTCGCCCAGAAGGCGAAATCCCGAGGAGGCACTCTAGTAACTCGCGCGTATATTAACGAAAGTACTTACAGCTGAAACATACAGTCCGCAGTATGCCAGAAAAAATCTCGATTTGCTTGAACAGGGGCCGTGAGGAATCGGTAGGTAATGATGACGTTCCTATTGTTTGCGCCCGCAAGTACGAATGGTTAGGATGACGTAAAGACAGAAAATCCCGAAGGGACCGCTTTGGTAGATTTTGTGACATCAATTGTGCAGTCATACTTCGATACTCATCATCATCATCAATCTTTATTTATACACGGAATCGTATCATTTTACATGGTCTTCCTAGGAATCGTGTTTAACACTAGAATGAAATACTCTAAGGAACTATTGAATATAATGTTAAAAATACAAAAACTTACATTATGAATAATAAGAGTTACAATGGGTCATGGTGTATTAGAAAAATCTTTCCCATGAATTGAAGTTTTAAAAACATTTAAACTAGGCAGTTTTCTAATCTCTGAGGGAATCTTGTTCCACAGAGCAGATCCTCTGTAGTGTAGGCTCCCTTTTGCAGACTCAGTTCTGGGTCTGGGGACATAATAATTTAACTCAGAATTTCTAAGATTGTATGAATGTACATTTGAGGTGTTGGTAAAGATCCGCCTCAGATACGACGAGGAAAGATTATTATGGATTTTATAGATTGTCACAGCCAACTGTTTAAGTCTTACATATTCTAGCCTTTCCCAGCCAAGCTCATCCAACAAAACACTTGAACGAACGTCATAGTTAGAAAAGGTGAGAATTCTAGCAGCCCTATTCTGCAGCTTTTGAAGTTTGTGTGCTAGTCCCTTATTGATATTACCCCATACGGCACCACAGTAATTAAAATATGGCATTACCAGTGCATTGTACATATTCACTCTAGTATCAAATGGTATAAAATGACTTACACGCCTTAAGATAGCAATACCAGCGGATATTTTCTTTGAAATGGTATGAATGTGTGGGCGCCAGTTCAAAGATTCATCAATTTGAACTCCAAGGGATTTATGTTTAATTACTCTTTCTAAGGGTGTATTATTGACTTTGACTGTGAAGTCACTATTTATTTGGGATAACTTAAACTGGCTCCCTATAAGCATGTATTTAGTCTTCTTAACATTTAAAGTTAATTTGTTTGCTGACAGCCATGACTGGATTAAATTCATATCATAATTCATTTTATGTTCAAGGACACATGGGTCTTCTGCAGATGTGGTATGGGTAGTATCATCTGCATACATTCTGGGTTTTGAAAACAAATTACATGAAGGGAAATCATTAATATAAATAGTGAATAAGAGAAGGCCTAAAATAGACCCCTGTGGAATACCACATGTTATATTACAGAAATCAGATTGAACTCCATTAATGAACGTTTGTTGCTTTCGGTCAGATAGATAGGACTGGAACCATTTAAGAGATTAAGAACTGGCCCCATAGAGTTTAAGCTTTCCCAGAAGGATAGCATGATCCACGGTATCAAAAGCTTTTTTCAAGTCCAGGAATATCACACCATTTAAGAGACTGTTGTCAATATTCCATAGCCATTCATTCGTAGCCTCAAGTAAAGCTGTTTCAGTGGAAAACATAGGTCTGAAGCCAGACTGTGATTCAGTTAACAAGTTATTATTATTTAAATATTCATACAATTGATTAAAAACAACTCTTTCAATTAATTTACTTACTACAGGCAGAACTGAGATAGGTCTGTAGTTGTTAGGATCAGTCCTGAGGTCTTCTTTAAATATTGGCGAAACTCTAGCTCGTTTCCAAGCATTTGGAAATATTCCAGTGGTAATTGACTGATTTATTATAAAAGTTAGACTGCGAGTAACTATGGGAGACGCTTCTTTCAGGAGACGTGCTGAGATGTTATCAAGACCACTAGCTTTATTACTCGGTATTTTCTAAATTAAATTGAAGACCTCCTGGCATGATACTTTTGCCAAATTAAAAATGTGTTCTGCGGGGGTAATATAATCAGTAAAATTACTGGATGTATCTTTAATTTCAGAGGCTAAGGAAGGTCCTATTTTGGAGAAATGTGTGTTGAGTATATTACTGATTTCGACGGGTTCAGTATTTACAGTATCCCCAGTGTCCAGCTGAGTTATCTTATTAAATTTAGGTTCATTTCCAATTAGTCTATTAATTCCTTTCCAAGTATTCTTTATGTTTCTGCGGTTATCTTTGAAGAAGGCAACCTTATTCTTCATGTGTTTGTAAGAAGTCCAATTGCCATCTGTTGGGAACCTTGGGGCTAATTTTTTGAGTTTGTCTCTCTGAAACATTAGCCTTTTTAGCTCTGGAGTAATCCAGGGGGAAGAGATTCCTTTCACTCTCTTCTTCTTTAATGGTGCATGGCTATCAGCAATGTCTAAGAACATATGTTGCCATATATCCCAAGCAATGTCAGGATTATGCTCCTGTTCAATACTCTTCTGCGTTACGTGTTATCAGTGACATTCTGTGAAGCAGTTGTTTTGAAAGTCATGGACTAAAAGACACCGGTTAAACGCAAATGAAGTTATAATGTGCGTATAACTGCGTATATATAAACACTTGGAGAGTTTGCCAGACACGAGTTCACAAATCTTTGAGATTGGAAACCTTGACAGACACTCTCTCTTTGTCTGGAATAAGACTCAGCCCCAAACAAGCAAGACGAGTGAACAACGGAGAGCTTATCATTAGCAGAACGATGAACGATTACAGAAATTCGCCGACAATCAAATTCTGTGCTAACTTATTCCCTGCTCACAGATGTTCTTCCTCGGTTAAGTTTAAAATAAGACTAGAATGGGAGAGCGTGAATTGATCAAATGTCCTTTTAATTTCTAAGGCTTACTTTCCGGTAAGAAATAGCGAAAAATTCAACGTCTAATTTAATCTTTTCTTATGGTTTAGAATAAACTGTTCTCGAAACTGAGAATGTTTTGATCAAAGCTGTGTAAATCGAACTGAAACTGTGCATGGAACCTTGCGTTTCCTGTATTTATCTTAGACTACGAGTAGTCCCCCATTTTTCCTCAGGGATAGTAGAGCGAGCGAAACGCGTGCGTGCTTGAAAATCACCCCACGCGAAAAAGGGCGACATGCGGCGCCGTGTCGCCTTTTTTCGCATGGGGTGATTTTCACGCGCGCACGCGTTTCGCCCGCTCTACTATCCCTGAGGAAAAATGGGGGACTACTCGTAGTCTATATTTTTCTCACCTATTGTATGCAATATGTGTGAAAATCTTCATTATGAATCGGTATATTTCAAAGAGCTACACAACGAGCAAGAATACTATTGACCGACAATTTACAGAGCGGGAGCAGCTGTAGTTTCAACTATTACTAGTTTTAAAATTTTAATCCTGTAACTGCTCCCTCCTCTCCAGCACATGTAGAGCGTCGTTTGTTCTGATGAGGTCCAAATACATGGATCATGCTAAATTTGGAAACCCCTAGAAGGGGCGGCATCAGCCAAACGCGCCTCCCACCGTTTTATAAGTTCAATCAAGTGATATCCCTCAACCTGGGTCTTCATTTTACTTACTCTTAGGTTCATATGTACATAAAACGAACAACGATAAAACGGAGTCGATTTTCTCTTATGGTTTTTATGACAAAGTGAGCTTTAGAAAGCAGCTACTGGAGTGAGTAAGTCTTTCTTTTGTGAAACGATTTATGGATTTAACAAATGAAATAATTTTTACTTGAATGTTTGCAATTTTTGGGATTTGACATGTGCAAAATTCTTTTGCGAGGTCGTCGCATCAAGAATTCGCATAGCTTCGTTTTAAGCGGAAAAAAAAATCGACAATTGAAAACGAAAAGCAAGAGCGGAAAGTATGTTTAATAACTCCCCCGTTTCTGTTTTTCAAGCCTGCGCTGGGATAGAAAATCAGCAAAAAGAGAGGCCAAACCATGCACTGACCTTAATTTCTTGAACTAACACTTTGTAATGAAAGTTGTTTTACTTAAAAGAAAAAGGACGCCGTCAAATGTAAATTTCTTGGAGCTGGGAAGACAATCAGTCATTAGCTATTGTGTTTTAGCGTAGGCACTGCTCGCTGACCAAGGAAATTGCCGTAATTGTGCGTATTCTTAAGACAAAGGCGAAAAGATAAGATTTGCTTATGTTATCTACGCATTCTTGATTAAAAGCTTTGAATAGCCTACGTTCTGATTGTATAATACCAGTAACGGATTTTCGATAATTTTTTTCGCATGAAAAACGGTATAGGTTTATTAGTTTTCCTTTAGAGGCAAACAGTTTTTTTTCCCTAACTACCTGTAAGACAGCATTACTTATTTGTTGTTACATTTTTTTTGCAAACCTGGTGACCTGCCACTCACCTTCTTTTTCTTCCTTCTGATTGCGCGTATGGTGAGAAAACCTAGTATTCCACAACATATTGTAAAGAGAGCCATGAACGCTGCATTGTAGTACTTTCCCTGTCGGTAGATCTTTGCTCTGTATTCAATAACTTGAACGTCACCAAGGTCAATGCGGAGCAAGGGGATGGAAAACAGAACCACAATCAGGGTGCCACTGAACCAGATGATAAACGAGGACACCACAGCTTTGTAGGTACTTTTCCAAGCGAAACATTTCAGATCAAAGGCCATGGCAAAGTACATATCTGCCATCAAAGCCAGCATGGATGCAAGGTTGAGTATTATAAGTAATCGGTTGAAGAAGCTGGACATGATCGCCAGACTCTGTCCTCTGAACCAACCCGCCTCTAACGTGACAGAAATCATGTAGATCGGCATGTTGATGGCTATGTTTAGCATGTCCACCACAGCAAGATTTGCGAGAAGTGTGTTTGGAACAGTTCGAAAGGATTTAAATCGTGCGATAACGGCCAGAATTGAACCATTACCAAACGTAGCACCCAGGGCCAGCAAAACTGTTAATAAACTCATCAAAACTTTAGTGGAAAGTGGCTTCGGTGGGTACATGACGAAGGTGTTCACCGAGCTACTTTCACCTTTACAATGTCGGCTTAAAATGGTCACAATCTTAAAAATATTGGTATAAATTAACGTTATCCCGTTGTTCTTTTGAAAATAAAGTGGATTGGAAATAGCAGGTGACTTGCATCAGGTTAATGTGTTTGAAGGCACAGTTACGTAACGGTTTTACCAATATGAAAAGGCAGGATTTACAAGCAAGTTTTCCCAATTAAAAAAAGACATTGAACTCAGCTTAAACAGGAATTTAGGATTCTGGCATAAGAAAAAGTTTCTAAAAGCAGAAAGTCCGGCAAATTACTAGATTACAAATTATAGTTTCAGAAGGGGTTTCATGACACCAAAATACCAGTTAGATAGTTGGTTTAGATACCCTTCAGAGCCATTACTGATGATTTGGATAAATTTCAAACAATCAGTTTTATAAATATAGTTTCTTAGTCAGTTTTCAGTAGTTATTATTGTTCTTTTAAAAGGATGTTTACAATCGCCTCATCTGTTATCCCGCTCCAAGCTCTCAGTGGCTCGCGACTAGCGCGAAAAAAAAAAGAAAAGAAGTTCGTGCTCGCTTTTCTTCGCTCTTCGGGACCAAATGAAGTGCTGAAGGAGCTTATCTATTAGTCTTCTAGTAAAAAATGTGAACGAATGCGCTTTGGCGTAAATGATTGTTAAACGATTGGCTAGAAATAGGCTCAGGAAGCTTAAAACTGCTAAAGACACCAAAGAAAAACTAAAAAGGTTACAACCAGCCTGTAGCAGTTTATACATTAGTTTTCCAGTAAGAAAAGATAACGCGTCCGTTAATTTGGCCTTCGTTTAATATTCACATTTTAAAGTAATAATTAGCAATAGGCTTAAACTTGGGAACACACGCAGGAAAAACTTAGATATTAATATCGGCAAACCCGACATTTTTCAAATCTTTTGAATGTTTAATAAATGATTTCACCAGGAAGTACTTTCCTCGTAATTCTCTTGTGTACGCAGTACTAGGACACGATAACAATTACAACGGAAACCTTTTTGTCTGATTTAAATAGCCAGAAATACTAATGTATATGGTAAATGTTCAGATTAAACTTATGGAGATATCGATTTTTCTCAACCTGAAAACATTGAATTTTAATATCGGTTCGTAACTTTTTGTTAATTGTATTTGAAGAAAATTAGGATGAATATGAAAACGTATACGAACCTGAGTTGGTGATCAACACGAAAATCATATCAAACAACATCACAGCTGTATGACAGTCAGTCATAATAACTCCCTTGTAGTAGCAAATCTAGGCTTTTTCCAGAGGTACGCAAATCCCCCCCTACCACAGAAGTCCTTTGATTAAAGGTAAAGCTACTTTGTAATCTTGAGCATTTCTTCTGTACATAAAATGAAGTTAGTTTTGTCGCCTTTTTGTGTGCCATTAACTGCAGAAGTACTTTAATCGTTATCTCATACTTATATTTACAAATAAGCACGATCCTGGCGATAAACTTTGATTCTGCTCTACAACTTTCGAAGCCCCCATCACGGGCTCATTTTATAACGAGACAGGGGCGCACTTCAGTTTCCCTGCTGCTTAGGTTGCCAATTAGAAGCATCTTGACCTCTATTCTGATAAAAATATTGTCTACCGCATCCACGACGAGAATTTCTAGGATCAGGTTTAGAGCGGCAAAAATAATAAGTATGCCTTTTTCGACCACAATTATAGCAAACGGCATCGCCAAAACGGGACCGGAAACCCCTTGACTGAAAAGACTGGTTAGAGCTCTGATTATAACTACTGGGTCTAGAACTAGCACTTCCCATTAACTCTAGCCTGCATGGCAGGGGTTAAAAGGGGAAGGGGAACGGGGAATTTGGGCGCGCGAGGGAGAAAGGAAAGGAACCCTCCCCCTCGCGCGTGGTCTCGCGCCCTAATTCCCTTCCCCTTCCCTTTCGAACGCCTGCCACGCAGGCTACATTAACTCTCGAAACTTGTCTCTAATAGTTTGTTTCATTTCAGACTTGCTCATGTAAGGCTCCTGACTCACAGGACTAATTGACTTATCCTTAGGATTAATAGAGTACTAAAGTGACGACGTCATAAAAATGAAATTTCTGAAATTATGGGATTTGTCAGGATATTCTGAAAGAACAATGTCCAAGAGGCCTACTTGACAAAAATGAGCATTTCGGGGCAAATTGTCTCTGAGATCGTAGCCCAGTGATACTCAGAAAACTTCATACAAACCCTTCTAATTTTTTGGGGGGTCGACCGAAAAAAATTTAGAAGGGTTTGTATGGAGTATTGTAACCATGTTTATGTGGATGAAAATTTGTCACCGAATGTACATATTGATAAAATCGGTAAAAGATTGTCTCTGGCATTGGTTTTAGACTGCCTTTCGTTAAATTTAGCGCCTTGGAGCTGGTGTATTTTTTTGCAGTAACCTCTTGTAATAGTGAAAACACATGTATATAGAATCTGAATCTGAATCTGGTCTTGTTCAATATTTGAATTCTTTGTTTTCTTATCGTTATGAAGTCCCTGTTCTCTGAGGGATTCGGAGGCCAAGCTAGCTATTCCACTACCTGGTGCCAATTATGTTGAAAACAGTGTTAGCTATAGAGGTTCGGTATTGTAGAATAATTCACTTGTTGAGCTGAGGTATACGCGAACTCTCTCGGTGATTTCTTTTGAATCATGGTCGATAACCATTTCGCAGGCATCCATGGAAGGCAGGCACATTTTCTTTTTTTTTTCATAATTCTTTTCTTACTCTTTTTAGAATTCGTCGTTACCTTTGATTAGTTAAATTTTTTAAGAGTTTCTCTTCGTCTGATGATTTTTAACTGTGGACAAAAAAGTTGTTGTTATCATGTAAAAACTAATAAGAGAGCTTTAGGTTCTAAGACGAGGACAACTAGGAGAACGAAATTTTCTCCATACTAAGTAGTGTGCGCGCGTGCACCAGCGTCATTTTAGCGGGAAAACGTGATAGCCGTCGTCAGTCTACTACGAGTTTAAGCGAGAATGTCGTAGTAAACAAACAACTTATCAATTGTTAGAAGTTTTATCATTTTGCGATCAGGAGATAAGCTCGATTTCCACCATCTCCCGGGTCCGATCTTTGATCTCCCCGAAGAGAGAGGATGAGTGCGGGCTCATTTTCCCGAACAGCAGCTGGTAATCGAGCCTAATCAGGAGAGGGCTTAAACCTTCAATAAAGATAACAGTGCTAACTTTTCTGGTGAAAAAAGTTACAGTAAGGCTTTTCGGGGTGTCTATTTTTGGAGAATATGCGAGAAAAGTTCACTAGCCAAACCTCGTCTTTGAATCTGAAGGTCTGTAATTGGAGAGGGAAGAAGACGGCAAACCTTGTGTGACAAGCGTGACAATAATTTTGTTTGAATAACTTTTTGCCAGACTTCACTTTCCTTTAAACAGATCTTTTTGTAAAAAAGCAGAAGAAATTAATGTTAAGTGGAAATCAGTGTTTTGCCGTTCTCTTCTTCCTACCGTCCTGTTGCGTAAACTCACTAATGTTCCGACGTTTCGGCGACCTCATGACGCCATTTTCAAAGAATGGAAAGAAATTGATGCGAGTTGAAAAAGAGTTAAAAGTACTCTGAATTTCCATTCCTTGATAATAGTGAGTTTACGCAACAGGACGGCAGGAAGAAGAGGACGGCAAATCCCTTGCGCGTGACGAACGTGACAAGGCCATCAGTTGCGTGTTTTGACGCGAACTTCGCTAACATCAATGTTTTTTGGTCTTTTACAAAAAGATCTGTTTAAAAGAAAGTGAAGTTTGGCGAAAAGTTAATTCGAACAAAATTACTGTCACGCTTGTCACACGAGGTTTGCCGTCTTCTTTCCTCTCCCGTCCTGTTGCGTAAGTTCACTAATAGCGTCATGA